AAGAAAAGAAAGGTTTGCAATATTTTCCCCCTTGTCTAAGTATTTCCCTTCCAAAATAAACACTGTAATATACTGATTGCACACTCTTTAGTGGGTTGTAGAATCACATTAAATGTGTTAGTTAGAAAAAGTACTTAAATAAAGTACTGTATACTGGAAAGAAGGCAAAAGTTTAGGTTAAGTGTGGCTCTTACAGGCAATTAATCTTCAGAGAAAATAAAACCTTTCTGTAGCTGCTAAGTATTTTAACTTCTAATTTTGTGTTGTGACACTGTCTACAGTAAGTGTCCTGAAACTGACATTCTATATGCAAAACTTGTTACAGATATAGTGCTACTTTGAAATGTAAATAAAAACATTGTTCGTGTATTCATAGAAAGGTACATTCATTTACAAAGAAGCAACTGATATATCTTTAATGGGTATTGAAAATGCACTTCTAATGCTTTGACTTCTGTAGAATCAGGTGGTCTATAACTCTTAAAGTGTACACAAGCAGATTTTGGTGACATCAACATCAGTCTTCATTTTTATGAGGCTAAAGCGCACAGAAATGCTCCTAGCTGATACTAGATACATTTTTGTGGTCTGCTTTATGGTATGTAAGTTAAGTATTTTATGTTAACCACCTCTTGGCTTTCTCCTGTGTTAGTAGCACAATATTCAATGCACAGTGGCAGAATTGTTGTAATATAGTGGGATTTTTAAGTGTAAGCACAGCTTTAGTATTTACCTTTTTAAGGTAAAAATTAAACTGGTGTGATATGTTACTTTAGCAGTAATGATGTTTGAATTAATAGGAAACTTGGTTTACAGATTGTAATGGTTGTTTGTTGTTGGCCCTGGTTCTCCTATATCTTTTACACAGTTGACTGTTTTAGTTTCCTAGAAATTAAAGAAATTAACCAGAAATTATTTTGTGTTTCGGTTTAGAAGTACCATATTAAAGCTTTAAAAGTATCACCAGCCACTGGAACTGAGAGACCATTAGTCCTCAATGCTACTGAAGCCTCTTGTAATCGTGTACTGTTTAGAATGCCTATTGTGTGGTCAGTGCTGTACAAACCAGATAAATGCCCTGAAGATACTGCAGTCCGAATTGAGCACAGGGTAGCCAAACCTTCATAACTGAATCTACATCACAGATCTCTACATGTCAGATAAGGGTAGAAGGTCAGGTTTTCAAGATACATTTTTGTATCAGATCTGTGATTGGCAGAGACTCATTAAACAATGCTCAAGTTAGGTAGCTTGATGTCTTCCCTGTGGTATTGTAGAGGACTTAGAATAAGCCATGTTGTCATAAAATATAACTTTAGCTCTTCCCGTTCCAAAACAAAACATAAGGATTTAAGGCCATTTGCTCTGTTTGTACATTTTTGTAATTCCTTAAGTACAACTTGATACCTTTTAGTCCAAATTGTCAAAGAGTTATGCAAAATGTAATGAATGCATCTATTCTAGGCAATTCAATTTTGTTGCTCTTGTGTTCTAAATATCCAACTTTTTGCAGAGTATTAAGCACAAAAGTTTCACTGAGTATTTTCTTGTATTTACACATGCTCCAATGAACCTAGAGTGTGCTGGTTTTTAAGCTATACAGTAAGTAGTATAATTCATATCAAGTGATTTTATGTGCATAATTAGGACCTATATGTTTCATTTTTTTAAAAGAAATATACTTCAGCTTGTTTGGAAAAACAAATTTAGACATTTTAACACTGTAATCTCTTGTTTTTTAAAATGTCAAAATAAGTCCTTAAAATAATTGATAATGTTGTGAGGGATATTCTTGAAAAGCCAACATTTACAAAGACTAAAATGTGACATCGGCCTTAGAGAAGCATATCCGTCAGATTCTTTGGTATGGAATAAGTGTGCAAGTATTCAGATTAAATATACCACAGGCAGAAAAGTGCTTTTTTTAAGGAGCTGATATTATCTTTGGACCACACATACTAAATTTACAAATGGTGGTTAGTTAGATGAATATTAACTGCGTTATTTCAAGCTCTGCTTTAAGAGCATCACATGTGATACCCGGAGTAAACAGCTGACTTCCAAGGTGATCTGGTACTAGTTCCATCCCGTGTGAGAGTGGCAGGGGGGGGGGGGGGGGGGTGTGTGTGTGTGTGTGTGTGTGTAAACACATCTGCAGTACCTCTATGTAGGAAATTGTAGAACTTACTTTTTGTCATAGTC